GCTCAGGGGAGACCTCCTCACTCTCTACAACTCCCTGACAGGTGAGGGTTGGTCTCTTTTCCCAGGCAACTCTCAGCAAGACAAGAGGGCTCAGGGTCTTCAGCTGTGCCAGGGGAGGTTTAGGTTGGATATTAGAAAGAATTTCTTTGCAGAGAGGGTGCTCAGCCATTGGAATGGGCTGCCCAGGGAAGGGGTGGATTCTCTGTCCCTGGAGGTTTTTAAGAAGAGACTGGATGTGGCATCAGTGCCATGGGCTGGGAACCACAGTGGGGTTGGATTAAGGGTTGGACTTGATGATCTTGGAGGTCCCTTCCAACCCAGCTGATTCTATGATTCTATGATTCTATGATCTTTCATTTCAGGTTCACCAAACACACCTCTCCAGACCCACGTGCTGTCCCTGACCTTGGGCTACTTCATCTTCGACCTGGGCTGGTGCCTGTATTTCCAGACAGAGGGGGGGCTGATGCTGTTCCACCACACCCTGAGCATCTGTGGCATGGTGCTGGTGCTGGGCCTGGGCAAATCTGCCACGGAGGTCAACGCCGTCGTGTTTGTCAGCGAGATCACCAACCCCCTGCTCCAGACCCGCTGGTTCCTGCGGGAGACGGGCCGGTACCACACCTTCCTGGGGGAGCTGGTAGATTCCCTCTTCGTGCTGCTCTTCCTGGTGCTGAGGATCCTGGGGGGAGCCTGGATCATGTGTGCCATGGTGATGTCCCCCCGCCCCAGCTGGCTCCTCAAGGCTGGGGGCCTGGCCATGTACGTGGTGTCCCTGGGGTTCATGGTTGAAATCTGCCGCTTCGTCAGGAGGAAAATGGGGAAAAAACACCTTCCCAGGACGTGCCTGAGGAGTGGGAATGAACCTGTGAGAGCGAATGGACACGTGGCTGCTCACTGATGGGCTGTGGAGGACAATCCCCTGGGCTTGGGGCCTGGCTGCTGGAGCTTATTCCTGTGGAAAGAGCTCCTAAAATGACTCTCTGGCGCTGGAAGGAGACGGGTCAGCGCGAGGAACGTGGAAAAGCTGGGAAAAGAGTGGAAATCCAAGGAACCTGACACTGATTCCCTGACTTGTGCAGCAATGGTACAGTCTAAAGGAGGGTGGCAATGCCAGACCTGCTCAGTCTGCAGCCAATAATGGCACAGTCTGTACGTTCTGTCATCGTTTCTGAGGTAGAATTATTTTGCAGCGCAGAGAAAATCAAACATGGAAAATCCAACCTTCCTGCCAGTGGGGCTGGGTAGGGGTGTGACCTGGCAAAGATCTGCTGAGCCACACTCTCCTTAATCCTGGATTTGGACAATGTGCTTTCCTAAGTACTCGAATGAAAGCCTCAGAACCAGACTGAAGTGCTTTCAGGGGTGTAGGAGAGTTGTCCTTTGAGTGTGTGGAGTGATGGTACTTGAGGTGAGGCAATGTTTTACCTCGTTGTTTTTAATGATACATTTCCTTTTCTTTTTTTTTTTTTTAATGCTGGCATTCAAGCAGATACTGATCTTAGAGCAGTGTGACTTCACTGGGACTGGCTCAGGCCCTTGCAAACAAGAGTCAGGAATTAGACTCGTGCCAATAAACTCCATAAGCAGGTGTTCTCCTGGCCTTGGATTGCTTTAAAACGATAATCAGGTTTTTTGTGGGTGAGAGAGGATAGAGAAGAGCCCCCCTGGATGCTCTTTCTGTCTTGGGGTTGGATCATTTACAAGCCACTAAAGCTGAATTCATGGCTAATGAGTCAAATACGTGACTATTTTCAGGGGTGACAGTCATGACAAGCCAGATCTCAGTGTGACATCTGCTCCACACCAGCAGGCCATGGAGCATGGACTAGTTCTCTTGTTTTCTTTACCTCTCAGAGTTGTGTTCTGACATTTTCCCCTGGGGTTTTAATGTGAATTTCCCTCTGTTTAAGGCCGCAGTTGAGATTTACTCTCCTATAAAAGCCTCACTTGGAGCTTTGTGTTGCTTGCAGGCTTAGCAGGGCTGGTTGCTGCTTTCCAAGATTTTGGGGGAGGTTCTTCATGGAGCTGAAGAGCCCCTGGAACTGCCTGTGTGGGTCTTGCTGGAATGAAGTGTTAGTCCTGCTGCAGAGGGGAAGGAAGGGAGCTCCTCCACGCCTCTTATCTCGCTAATTCTGGTGTTTTTCAGGGCAGATATCAGCCTTGGCTGGGGGTTAGAATAAGGTGTTTGGAGAGATTAAAAAAATGACCTGAAATAACCTCACTTTTGACAAGTCCACTGAAAGCACTGCAGCTGTGAATCCAGGCAAGTTACTGTTTAGGAAAGCAGGAGCTTTGCCCTCCAGCTGGGCTGGCTCTGGGGGCCTGAGGTATGGACCCTGTGCTCTTCCAAAAACTCCTAGGAGTGATGAGACTTCTAATAAAATTATGTTCTCTTTTTTAAAAGAAATGGTTGCTGTAATGTTCTTTTTTCTCTGGGTCTTAAGGAGGCAACTGAAGTTAAGGAAGTGAGGCAAACAGGCTGGAGGGAACTTAAACTACTCAGGAAGGAGTGAGCTGGTGAGGAGACAAGCTCAGACTGAGCCATGTGCTCTGCAGGTCAGGCTTGAGGTGTGAGGGGCAGCTGAAGCTCAGATTTGTGACTAATGGAGCCATAACCAATGAGTCAGTACTGCAGGGAACTCAAGAACGGGCCATTGAACTGAGGTGTTTGCTCCTGATGGACACAAGGTCATGGGGTAACTTAAATTCTGGCCATGGTTGTCTTTTTTTTTTTCTCTGCAGCACCAATTCCTCCCTGCTGGGTTTCATCCTGGCAATGAGTATTTTGGAATGCTTGGGTTGCAGGGTGTTTTGGCTACACTGTCTTTGAGGAAGCAGCTGAAAGTGTGAGATCACCTTTGGTGCCATGAGATGTCCCAGGTCACTGCTGAGTGGATGTTTCCAGCTGGGAACCTGCGACTGCTGGGTCAGGACTGGTGTCTGGAGTGGAGGTGAGCCTGGGCTTGGCTTCCAACAAGGAAATGCTTTTCCTTCAGCTGTGGGACAGTAGCCCAGTGCACCCACCTTGCTTTAAACCAACCAAAACTGATAGCAGTCATCCTGGGACTTGAAGCAAAGTAAGTGCCCTCAGATGGTCATGGACCACTTCTCATCTAAGGACAGCTTTAATGTGAAATTCTCTGATGTGATGCTAGAAAACCATTTAGCTCCACTCTTGGCATCCCATTGGATTTGTGTACTTGCATTTTAAAGAATGTGATTCTTCATACAGGTGCCTGGTTTTTATCTGTCAAATATCCTTGACAGATAAATGTCTTTGTGATTTTACAGTCACAAAAAGTGAGCCTTGGTCTTGGCCTGTCACTGGGTGTTTGGAGTTCCTGTGTATTCCCAGTTTATCTGTGGACAAGGAGTTTCCCAGTGCTGTAAGCTAACACACTGTGACCCTCCAACTCTGGTTAGAATAGGTGCAGAAGGCAAGAGGGAAGAATGTGATGCTGGGGAGGGTGGAACTGCACTAAATGGGGCAGCAGAGTGCAGACAACTGCTTGCAGAGGTGTCCTGGCCTGAGCTGTTTTGCTGAACTCTGTTCATGTGCAGGCAAAACGAGCCAGTGCAACACAGCCCATTGAAAGGGCTGAGTCTGCACAAAGCAAACAGGAAAATTAGTGTATAAGCTGCACCTCACTTCTGGTACAATCCACTGGGAGGTGGTTTAACTCGCCACTTTGCACCTCACGATGCAAATTTTGCACACTGTATGACCTAGAAAATAAAAATGCACAGTTTCTCTGTATTTCTACCTCCTGCATTAAATCCATAAGTCTGTGCCTTGTGTGAACATGTCTATTTTTCTTGCTGGCTGCTCAGTCAACATTCATAGAATCATAGAATGGTTTGGGTTGGAAGAGACCTTAAAGATGATCTTGTTCCACCCTCTGCCATGGACAGGGAACCTTCCACTAGCCCAGGTTGCTCCAAGCCCTGTCCAACCTTGCCTTGGACACTTCCAGGGATCCAGGGGCAGCCACAGCTTCTCTGAGCAACCTGTGCCAGGGCCTCACCACCCTCACAGGGAAGAATTTTTTCCTGATATCTAAACTTGCTCCCTTTCAGTTTGGAAACATCAGCCAGGAGCCAGTGTGTTGGTTGGAGGAGGTGTCCTGTGTTTTGCTGCTCTGTGGGTGTGGAAGGCAGGCCAGAGAATGGTGAGCCCTGAATGGGAACAGTGAGAAGAAATTGCTGGGCTCTGTAACTGCTGCCTAAGCAGGGGATGGAGGGGATGTCCGGGCAGGGCCGTGTGCTCTCCCAGCCTGCTGAAGCTGCACTGCTGGATGATAAACCCTGCAGGGCACAGAACCTTGAACCTGGTGTGACACAGCTTTGGGAGTCCTGGAGAAGAGCCTGTTCCCAGCAGGAGCTGCCTGGGTGTGAGTAAAGCAAACCCCCGGTGTGCTTTGTGTGAAGATAACCCCCGGGGTTATCTCTGCCACACACGAGGTGATTGGAGCGGGTGGGAGGGGGGTGGGACCGATTCCCTGTGCCCACAGGCTTTGTGTGCCCTGCGGGAGCACGACCTCGTTCTGGGAGCAGGGCTATGAAGTTGGTGAAGGCTCTAGGGTCCTATTCCCATCCTGCTGTCTCTCCTCCAGCCCTGCCATCCTTCCTCCAGCCCTGCTGTCCGTATTCCCGTCTGGCCGTCCCCATTCCAGCCCTGCCGTCCCTCCTCCAGCCCTGACGTCCCTATTCCAGCCCTGCCATCCTTATTCCATCCCTGCCATCCCTTCTCCAGCCCTGCCACCCCCATTCCATCCCTTCCATCCCCATTCCATCCCTGCCATCCCTTCTCCAGCCCTGCCATCCCCATTCCATCCCTTCCATCCCGATTCCCGTCCTGCCATCCCGATTCCCGTCCTGCCATCCCCACTCCATCCCTCCCATCCCTGCGGTCCCTCCTCCCCGCCGCCAGGTGCCCCTCGGCCGCCGCCGCTTCCTCTGCCGGTGCGGCGGGGGCGGCCGCGGCTCCGCGGCCCTGCCGGTGGGTGTGCGGGGAAGGGAAGGCTCCGGACCCTGTTCCCGGACCTTTCGGGAGCCGGGAGGAGCCGAGCCAGGCCGGGAGGAGCCGGGCAAGGGAATAAGGTGGGGCGGGAGCCCGCGGGGGTGCGCGCGGGGATGGGGGGGGCGGCTGCATCCCGCGGGAAAGGGCAGGATGCGGGATGGGGCCGGCGCCGGGCTCTGCCCCTGGGATGCGGTTTGATCTCTCTGTGTTGTGGTCTCTGGGCTCCTCCATTTTATTCCTTGTACTACAAAAAAAAAAAAAAAAAAAAAAAGGAAATAAGGAAATAACGGTGCTTTGCGGGAGGTGCCCATCTGGTTTTCCCGTCTGATTTTTAAGCTCTTCCGGGCTGTTCTGCACCAGGTTTTTAGGCGCGTGTGTTTATTGTAGAGCCTGCTTTCATTCGGGACCACGTTGCTACTGATGATAAAAATAATAATATAATATATATGACATAGAATAATATACATAATAATACATATAACGATATACATAAAAAATATAATAATATAATATAGATATCTAAAGATATATAATATATATTTTAGATATATTATTGTATTTAGATATTGTGTTGTATTTAGATATTATTATATTATTTTTGTATGTGATATATTTATATATATCTATACATATCTATATTTAGTATATATTATATATATATTATTTATTATTATTATATATTATATATATAATTATTTATTATTATTATATAATTATGGGTGGGTTTTAAATTATATTGGCCTGTCTGGCATCCAGGCACAGACTTAATGCACAGGTGCAATATGTATTATATGTGCTAAGGACAAATAACAGAATGGTTTGGGTTGGAAGGAATCTTAAAAATCATCTCATTCCTGCCATGGGCAGGGACACCTCCCACTAGCCCAGGTTGTTCCAAGCCCTCTCCAACCTGGCCTTGGACACTTCCAGGGATCCAGAGGCAGCCACAGCTTCTCTGGGCAGCCTGTGCCAGGGCCTCCCCTCCCTCCCAGGGAAGAATTTTTCCCTAATATCCAATCTAATCCTGCTCTCTGTCAATTTAAAGCCATTAACTGTTGAGCTTTGATGTGCAGTTGGATGACAGCCCTCTTCTTTCCTTCCAGGGGATGGAGAAGTATCTTTTTCATGAGTAGGTGTGGAGAACACCTCAAAATGTTTAAAAGCTTGTTCCTCTTCCTTTTACCAGCCTTCTCCAGCTGGTCAGTCCCTTTTGTCACATGAGAATTCTTCCTTCCCTATGTGCCCTGACTCTGGACCTCACATACCAGGGATGCAATGGAAACTCCTGGTCAGAGCAGTTAATCACATCCTTATTTCATCTCCCATGTTCCCAAGGCCCATTAAAACATAATGGTTTTGTTTACCCAGCCTCCAGTCATTCCTGGGAATCCCTCAACAGGCCAAACAGGAAGGCTGGGCTGTGCAGCTCTGACTCCTCATCACGTGAAGTCTCTTTGGTGTGAGTTTGGGTGTGAGGCCAGAGTTGGGCAGCAGGTACCACTGGTGCTTCTGCTGTTGCACGACTGGAAACTCCTGTATCCCAAAGCATGACTCAACTGCTTCTGATGCACTTCCCTGAGTGCTCAGAAGTGATGAGACATATCTTGTATTTCACAGAAAGGTGTTATAAATATGAATGAGGGGTAGATATTTGATTATTAAATAACTGGGGGGCTTTTAGCACCAAGAGCAGCATCCACAGTTGTCTCTGCACTGTAATTTTGTTCAGGCAGAGTGTTTTTTGCTTGTTTGAGAGGTTCTGTATTGCACAGTGAGTGAGGGAAGACTTGGAAAAGAAATACCGCTGGAAAAATAGATTTGGGGTGAAAAGGGTCAGATTTGGGGTGTGGAGTCAGATTTGGGGTGAAAAGGGTCGGATTAGGGGGTGAAAAGGGGCAGATTTGGGGTAAAAATGGCAGATTTAGGGGTTAAAAGGGCAATTTTGGGGGTGAAAGGGGCCAGTTTGGGGTGAAAGGAGCCAATTTTGGAGTGAAAAGGGTCTGATTTGGGGTAAAACCAGCAGATTTGGGGTGAGACGTGGCAGATTCACTGTGCCTTGTGTGAACATGTCTGTTTTTCTTGCTGGCTGCTCAGTCAACATCCATAGAATCACAGAATGGTTTGGGTTGGAAGAGACCATAAAGATCACCTTGTTCCACCCCCTGCCATGGGCAGGGACACCTTCCACTGGAAAAATAATCTTTATGGGCATAGATTCTAATTCTTCTGCATCAAAAAGATTTGGAGGTCTTGGTGCCATTAAAGACGAAATGAAGTCTGCAGTGAGGAGAGTGAAGTGGTTTTCACCTTGTCCTGATACTTACAGACCTTCTGGTCCCCTGTGTGTTTCTGATCCGTTCTGTGTCCCTGTCCCCCTGGCAGGATGCTGTTCCCCCTGCCCCTGAGGGTGGCCTGCAGTCTGCTGGGCTGGTTCTCCCTCTACAAGTGGTTCTGCCACCGCTACAGGCACCGGAATTCCGAGTGGAGCTGCAGGCTGGTCACCCTGACCCACGGCATCCTGGCCACCTGCCTCTCTGCTTACATTGGCTTCATTGATGGGCCCTGGCCTTTGAGCCACCCAGGTGAGTGATGAGAGCTGTGGTCCCAGCTCCCTCCCTGGGTGGTGGCACTGAGGGGCTCTCCCACCACCTCGGAGTGGTGACTGCAGTGGTTTCTCTGAGCTGCTTTGTGATGGGAAGCTCTAGAGGAATGGGGAGGCTGGCACTGCATTTCCTCGTGTGCTGGCCCTCCCCAGCTGCAGTTTGGCCATTATGTGTGTGCAGCTGCTGGGCTGACAACCGTGGTATTGTGACTTGGGGGGGGCTTCTCTGGCCAGGCTGTGACCAGTACAAACCAACACCCCTTCCTTGTCTCTCTTCTTTTACGTCTCCACGTTTCAGGATCACCCAACACGACCCTCCAGGTGCACGGGCTGTGCCTTAGCTTGGGCTACTTCCTCTTCGACCTGTGCTGGTGCGTGTACTTCCAGACGGAGGGTGCCCTGATGCTGGCCCACCACCTAGTGAGCATCGTGGGCATCGCAGCCTCCCTGGCCCTGGGGGAGTCGGCGGCGGACGTCAACGCCGTGATCTTCGGCAGCGAGATCACCAACCCCCTGCTGCAGGCCCGCTGGTTCCTCAAGGAGACGGGCTCCTACCACTCCCTGACGGGCGACGTGGTGGATTTCCTCTTCGTGGTCCTGTTCACGGGCGTGCGGATCGGGATGGGGGCCTGGCTGATGTACTGCGAGCTGGCCTCGCCCCGGCCCCGCTGGTACATCAAGCTGGGGGGGGGTCATCATGTACGCCGTGTCCTGGGTGTTCATGCTCAGCATCTGCCGCTTCGCCAGGAGGAAGAGCATGAGGAAGTACCAGGCGTGGAGGAGCCGCAGGTGCCTGAAAGCCAACGGGCACCTGAAAACTCACTGAGGGGGGTGCTGGGGAAAGATTTCCTCGAGTTCACGCTGCCTGGCGAGGAGGGGGGGATCGTGCCTGAAGTGGGGAGAGGAGCCAGCACAGGTTAGAGGTTCTGGAGCCAAGTTTATCCCTGGCGCGGCTCCACTGAGATCCGTGGAGCTGTGCCATGGATTCGTTGGGGCTGCAGTGTTTGGCCTGGCAGGGGCTGGGTGAGCACACGCTGGATGGCACGAGGGAAGGAAGGGCTAATTTTATATACTGACCATTAACTAGTCCAGCAGTGCAGGTGTAAATAGTGGTGTGAGTAGAAAACTCTTTCGGCACCGGTAGAACCTTGGAGAAGAGAGGAGGAGGAGATAACACTAGGTCTTCATGTTCAGTGTCCTGTACAGTGTAGGCAGCTAAGAGTGTTCCTACTGGTAGGAAGAAGCGTGTTCTAGTGTTGCATCAAATTCCTGGCTCTTCCACCAACTCATTGTGTGACCTTGGGCAAGTCACATAACTAACTCTGTGCCTAATTCCCCATCTGTGACTTGGGGGTGATGGAGCTGATCCATCTGTGTTATGCACTTTCAGACTTTTCCTTGAGAGGTGCTACATCAATGCAGAGTGATGGTTGTTACCTGCACTTCGTTCATTATCCCAGTGTTCCCTTTGGGAGAAACGGCTTTGGTGGTTGAGCTAGAGTGTGACTCTAGAAAAATCAGTATTTTAGGTAGGTTGTTGTTTCCTACCCTTTCTAATTCCTTTTAATAACTTATTTATTAACATATTGGTAACTTATTTTTCTGTAGTGTCCAGAAGCTCTAATCAGCACTGGAGCCTTACAGGACTAGGTGCTCTGTGAATACACCCAAAGACACAGCCCCTGGTGGGAAATGCTTTTATGACTTTTCCCTCTTCATCCCTGACTGTTAAAACTCCAGCCATCCCCCACAAACACTCCTTTTAGCTCCTTGAGTGACTCTCTGTTATGAGAAGCCCCATCAGGACTTGCCAGTAAGGGGTTTTCTGGCCGATTGTCTGCAGAACACCAAAATTCCCTCTGCTGTGCTTATTGACCCAAATCCAAACTGGGATTTCTGGTTGAAGAGTGGCCAACATGCATCTCCAAAACCCAGTGGCTGAGGTGGAATTGCTGCCCAGCTCCAAATTTGTCCTGTGCAAACCAGAGACCTGATCTTGGCTCTCCTTCATCTGAATTGATGCCTTGACCTCTGGGCTTCGATTTGTCTCCCTCATTGGATCTGTGTCACTTTATAAACTGAGCATTTATAGGATCAGAGAGACTTATTTTACAGCTTGATAATTAAAGAAGCAGAGAGGCACAGAGTGTGGCCTTTTTTAGTCAAAAAAAAAAGTGAACCTGACTGGGAGAAAAAATAATCATTACTTATCTGGTCCCATTTGCAGGGAAACATTGTCCCCATTTGGCAGCTTCTGGTGTTTGTTCCACTGCATGTTCTTCAGCTGTTCCTTTGTTGTTGCTGTCATTATTAGGATCATTTCATTTGAGCTTCAGCACTCCAGAGCAGCTCAGGGCCTGAGCCTCCCCTGCAGCAGCCAAAGACCTGAAGAGCCCAAAAAAAGCCCTTCAGATGAGCAGAGCCAAGTGGTGAGCTGGTCCTGCAAAGGAGACTTGACTCATCCAGCACTACTGAGCCTTGAAGGGAGACAAGAAGGGCTAGTTGGGGCTTGCTGGTTCTTTCCCAGCTCTCCTGAGCACGTCAAGGAGCCTTTTTGCCTCAGCTTACCCACTTTCTGGAGTGGGTACAGCATTACCTACCTCGTGGGGGGTTTCCATGTGACACCAAGCCACCTTTGATGGATGTTGGGTGGTTTGTGCTGCGTAAAAGCAAAATGCTGTTGCTGACTATGACCCTTCAGCATCACTTCTGTCACCTGAACATGGCACTTCCCAGCATCTGCTTGCCTCCCAGGAGCAGGAGTCCGAGGTGTTTTGCAAAGGTAGGAGCCAAAGGGACTAAGGACATGCTGCTTCTGGTTCATGTGGACCCCCCAGGCTGAAGGAAGGATGTCTGGTGGGTTTTTCCTGGGAAGGATTGCAGGAAATCTGGAGCCAGAGGAGGTTCAGCAGCCAGCCTGACCAGGGAAAGGGGCTTTCAGCAGCAAGGCCTGAAGAACAACCCACTTTTTTCTCAGTGCAGCTGTGGACTTGCCCACCAAGAAGAGTTTCCTGGGCAGCCCTGGTGGTCTGGGCTCTGAGGTTTGGGGGGCACTTTGTGTGTGGTTACCTGGACATCCCACACCTGCCCAGGTGAGTGAGGGTGTCACTGACTGCAGGTACCTGTGGAACACCTTGTGTGGAGATGTTTTGATTTACAGTGGCTCAGTGACCCCCTCCTTTGAGCTGGGGGGAACTTGGTTGGAAGGAGAACATCCATCAGTGAATTTAGAGGTTAAACAAAGGCACCAGGAAACAAAAGGGCAATTAGGAACAGCTTTATGAGGTGGAGCTACAACAGCATCTCAGAGCAAGGCCTCGCAGTCTGTCCAGCATGGACTCACACACCCAGAAACACAACTCCCAAGCTGTGGAGCACAGGGTGGGACCTGTCCTCAGGCTGGTCCATGGTGGCTAGAGCAAACTGTGAAAGGAAACTGCAGAGCTAGTGTGAGATAATAACTTGTGTTTGAATTACTGTGTAATAGCAACTAATGTTCCACCAGTGAATGGTGTAGATGGTTTGTATTATGTTTTATAAAATAAAGATTATTTAATTACACGAGGAATTTCCTTTCTCTCTTCGGATGCTGTTCCTCAGTTGCACTGTGTGTTTTGGATGAGTGTGAGCAAAGGGGTGGTGGGTGGGTGCTTTCTTTTCACAACAACTTGTACAGCTTTCAGCATTATTGCTTCTTGGGCACGTTGGCATTCTTTGCAGGGTTGTCTGAGGAGCGCTCAGTTAAAATTTCAGGAGGGATTTCTTCATGGAAAGGGTTGTCAGGCACTGGAAGGGGCTTCCCAGGGAGGTGGTGGAGTCCCCATCCCTGGAGGTGTCCAAGGAACCACTGGATGTGGCACTCAGTGCTCTGGGCTGTGATTGATCAGGGACTTTGGTTGATCGAGGGTGGACTCGATGATCTTGGAGTTCTTTTCCAACCTCAGTGGTTCTGTGGTTCTGTGTGTGGTTCAGTAACGCAGAGCAAAAATGTTTCCTTTGTTTTCCATGCTAAGGGACAACGTTCTCCTGTGTTTCCACACCATGAGCTCTTCTCATTCATAAACTAAATATTATTGCCTAGGAATTGCTTCACTGGGAAGCCTGCTAGGAAGGGGGCGTGTATTAGCATTATTTAATGTTTAATTTAATTTAACATTGCCTTGTGTGGGGGTGCTTGCAGCTGTAGAGATGAGCCAAAGCCAGCACTGTGCAGAGGTGCAGCTTTAATCTGGGCTCTGAGTGGTGCTGCTCTGTCTGTGCTGTGGTGGTTTTGCTCCTGTGCTGGGGATCTGCCTCTGTTCAGAGCCAGGGAGGCACTGCAGGCAGGGCAGTGCTGGGAGCTCTGTGTATCATGTTGTGTTCGTGCCCCAGAGCTCCCTGGGCAGGGCTGTCCTGATCTGCTGAGGGAAATGGGAGCTGCCAGGAGGATGTGCAGGGCTCAGGGGCTTCTTTTGAGCCTTGGGAAAGCCACCAACACACAACAGCTTCGTCAGGTCACTGGGAAAGCTGTGCCCTTCTTTTAAAATCCCTGTTTCAGGGGCTGCTCTTAGAATTAGAGGAGAGGAAAACATTTCTTTCAGTGATGCTTAAGAGACCTGGGTGCCACCAAGGATTTCTGTGAGTGGGGCACTGGATAAATCCAGAAGGGAAGGAGGGTCCTGCCCTGTGTGTGGCCAAGGAAAGGCCTGTGGTGCTGTGCTGGTGAAGAACAGCCACTCTGCCTGCTTAGCATTTTGCCAGGGATCCAGTGTGCCAAAAGTCTGCTTTCTATAAATAGTTAAGCCAATTTAGTTGTTTGCATGTAACCCTTCCATGTGCTGGGCAGCAGCTGCTGAGCCCTCTGGAGCTGTTGGCCTGTTTGCAGGGCAGGGGCAGCCCTGGCAGTGGGGTGAAGGGGTCTCAGGGGCTGCAGGAATTTATGCTGGGAGTTCATTTAACCTCGGTTCATTTAACCTTCAGCATTCTGAAGCTTTGCTTTAGAGCTGCAAACGTCCTCCAAGTTTTATGTCTTCAGGAGTGATGTGCCAGAATGGAACCTTAAGTCAATGGACAGATGTGCTTTGACTGTATACTGAAATCTGCCCCCCCTACACCCAATTAATTTAATTTTTTATTGTCCTGTTATTTCTTTAAAGCCTTCCCTGCTGCTTGCCTACTGGCCCTATAAAATGAACTCTATAAAATTAACCTCTTCTTTCAATCCTCTGCCCTCTTTTTGTAGCTGAACTCCTTATTTGTATTTGAAGAAATTGCAATTTTTTTGATATCCAAGGCTTTATTCCCTCGCAGCAATAGTCCAAGCACTGATGTAAAAGCATTCTAAGGCTTTGAAATCTGCTATTAGACTGATACCATTGCTGTCAGCAGGTCTTTCTTGGGCAAAAAAGATGAGAGAATGTTTTAAGCTTCATGGTGATACTCTTGATACTTGCACATTTTGTACAGTCTGGAAGTAAAATAACAAGGAGTCTTTTATGTCCAAAGAAATCAAATTCCAGAGAGGGAATCGGTCAGCACTGGCTTTGTGTTCCTTAAGCAATTTCTGGGCAAGGAGCAACTCTTTTTTGGTTATACCAATAAACCAGCACTTTCCTCTCTCCAAGTCAGCTTCAATAAGTGCTCTAATAAATCTGTGTAAGAGAAGGAGTTTGATTTGCCCTGTTTCCCTCAGGTTCCAGGGGCAGTTTGGCAGCTGATAAGTTGGCAGCATAAGGGGTCTTCAGAAAGTTAATGAGGAAAACTGAATAGATCAAGATATATGGAAATTGTAAAGTCAGAGTGGTTTACAGGTAATTAATTTTGAATGAGGAGGAGAAAGTGTCAGGTCCTGCAGCTTCTTAAATGCTACAAACCACAGGTTTTCAGCAATATTTGTGTTTCGTTGTTTGAATTGTGTCAGAAGGTTCAGTGTAACAATCCTCAAACGTGATGAGAAATTTACATCCTTCATCTCTTTAGATTTTACCCCCTTAACAACCACATCTTTGTTTTTAATCCCCCCTCCAGCCAGAGGACGTTGATTCCAGCAGAGAGTGAGAAGGAACCTCCTGACAGAACGTCCACCCCAGAGGTGGCTGCTTTATTTATGCTGATATGGAAAGAAAGCTTAGTGCTATAAAAATGCTTACTGCCACGTGGATTATCCAGGTTTAGGAACTGTAATAAGCTGTCACAGTGGAAGCTTTGGCAGATTAGTCTATCTGTGTCTCAACAGAGGCAGCAAAGTGGCCTAAAAGAGACCAGCCCTGGGTGCATTTCCAGCAGCTCCAGGGAACTGGGTGCAGGACAAGCTGCCTGTCTGTAGGTGGTAAATCAGGGGCTTGTTTTAAGATGGGAAAAGGCTTTGAAGTTGCACAGAAGTGTGGAGCCCAGCACGAATTTCTGTGTGTTTGGTCAGGTTAGGGTTACATCCAGACATGGAAGTGGCCACTGGATCCAGCAGCTGTTGGTGCTTGAGGTGAGTTTGACCGGGTGGAATCACAATCACTGAAGCAGGAAGGTTGGAGCTGTGCTGAGCTTGAGAGCAGAGCCAGGTTTACCCCAGTCCTGACCCAAGATCAAGGTCCTCTCTGTTCTTCAGGAGTCACAAATCCATATGCACGTTTGGGAAATGAACTGTCTTCCCTGTAAGCCTTTCCCTCCAGTTGTGCCAGGTGGAAAGGTTGGCTGCTGCCTTCCAAAAGCAGCAGAACAAGGACTGGAACAGCAATTTGTGGTGAGTTTAAATAACAGTCCAAAATACTGGTGCATTCTATCAGTGGCTTTAAATTGATGACTTGTTAAGTAGCAAAAGAGACTTCATCCCCTTGATTTTTATGATGGAGCTCAGCAAAACTCAGCTGCTCATCGTGTCTGACTCAGCACATAATTTTGCAAAGCTTTCTATTAGTTTCTTTAGTTTTGTTCTGTACTTTACTTATTTACTATTTACTTTCTTTACTTTCTATTCTATTCTTTACTTGAGGTCTGCAGGAGACCCGTTGCACACACAGGTGAGTTGCACTCGTGGCTGGTCATCCCACCCGAAACACGAAGGGAGATTTTCCTGAAGGAAAAATGGTCACCTGCGCTGTTTATTCATAGTTAAAATTTGAAGTATCGCCTTTTGCTGATTTCTGTGGCTTTCTATGCCGAGACCACAGTGGTGCAAACCGCCACGGAGCATCCCGGGTATCACACGGCTTGGAAATGCTCCTTTCCAAAGGGGAACGAGGGGGCGATCAGGAGCTCACATCTTACCTGCTGGGAAGTTCAGGTTAGAGGAACCATTCGAGGCTTTCCCAGCAGATGGCAACAGCTCCTCGGTGCGAGGCTGGAAAAGAGGGATTAGGCAAAAGGATCCTCAGCAAACACTTTCTCTATAAACCTGTAAGGTCCCTGTAAGGCACCTCCAAGGATCTGTCCTTTGCTTCAGGGCAAAATAAATTATGCTCCACAGGAATCATCGGTTTTTGCTCCAGGGTTCTCCTCACTTGAGCTGCTTAGCTCTGCTTTGGACTGAAAAATAGACTTTTGTGGACTTTGGTGCTGTGCCCTGGAGACTGATGAGGTTAATCAAAGAAACACAGAATGGTTTGGGTTGGAAGGGACCTTAAAAATCATCTCGTTCCAACCCCTCTGCCACGGGATGGTACCCTGTGGTAAATTCAGCATAAGTGACAACTTCAGAGCTACCAAAAAAGTATCTATTATAGTTGGTACAGTGTAATTGGTTATTGATTTCCCCACCCCATATTTCATGCTGTAAAACTGCCCAGGCAGAATTATCATAAATAGGCATCCATCTTAACCTAAGTATGCAGTCAGCTCTCACCATAAAAAAATAGCATTTGCAGAAAAGAGAAGCACTTATGGTTTCAGTATCTATGTCTTAGCATTTCCTCCAGCTAATTGTTGTTCTCATTACATTGTCATGCACAATAAAATATAATTACAGGAATAAAGAAGCATCGAGGCCTAATATGCAAATGCTGGGCCTGCCATGAATCAGAAGGTCTCTCAGGAGCCTTCCCTTCTCCAGGCACGGAACTTGATGTTCCCGAAGTTAAAAGCAGGGAGGGATTTATTGCAGGGAAGATGCAATAAAGGGATATATAATAAATAAATACAGATATATGGAGGTATTCAGTCACTTCATCACCACTGTGGTGCACAGCTGCAGAACGAGAGGCAGACGTGGCTGCTTGTCTTGCACTCCCACACTTTTCTTTCTTTTTTTTTTTTCCCCCAAGCCTGTATTTTCCTCAAAAGGAAACCAAAAAAGGAAGTATAAATGTCCCGCGTCTATATGTCAAGTATCGTGTAGAAAATGATTTCATCCCACGCTTCCCCCTCTTTGCTCTGAACTTCATCAAAACAACAAATTCTTCAGGCTCTCAGACAGTCTGCTGGCTTCCTGATCCACGCTCGCTTCGCTCCAAAGCAGGAAAAGGCTCCGTGTTCCAGAGCAGCAGCAGCAGCCTGGATTTAGCTTCAGGCAAGGTATGGTCCTGTGTGCTCAGGGAGGGATCTGCTCCCGAGTTTCCAAAGCCTGTTTTCCAGCCTCTTTCCAAGTCCAGT